TACGGCAGAAATGTTAAAGGTAGTCTTGTCCGAACAACAGCACAGGATATTAGATGCCGACAGTGTGACCACCATGCGAGTATTTGTTGCCGCCGCTGCAGAGCGTGCTGCGGTCGTCAAGGGGGGCGACCACCTCGCGAAGGCTGACATCCAGGCGAATTCCGAGAAAGTTTCGAAAGCCTCATTCACCGAACGCAAGACGCTGTTTGACAACAAGTGTTTCAACATGCAAGAAATTTCTAAAGCGTCAAACATCATGACTTCGAGGTATATGCACACATGGAAGTTTGTGGAAAACGAGAAGGGCGAGATGGAACGTGCCATCAGATTACGCCTGGTGCTTCGGGGCTTCATGGACCCTGAAGCTTTCGGCGTGGAAGCCTTCTCGCGAACAGAACGGCGGTCAAGCCAGAGAATACTCGCGAGCATGGCAGCGTGCAAGGAGCAATGGATCATTGCTTCCCTCGGCGTCAACATGGCTCTTTTGGGAGGGTCTGCCTACCAGGAACTTGCTGAGGCAACTGGTGAGAAAGAGCGCGTGGCGTGCTTTACCTTGCCGCCTGGATTGGCTACGGCGCTTCGAACTCTCCCAGGATTCGAACACTGCGACGAGTCGAAGCACTGTTTGCAGTGCCTCATGCCAGGCACTGGCACCAAGGACGCACCTCGAGGTTTCACATTAAAGACCCACGTCCTACAACGAGGGGTCGAGACGAGCAGCAACCTGCTCACGGCCAACCATGGCGATGACATCAGTATGGCCGGCGCAGAGGACACCATTGACAATTGCGCCAAGTGCGTAGCAGACACCTATGGTAAGTGTAAACTCAACAAGCACACATGCACCAATTGCGCTGTGATATATACGGAGGATGAGGACGGCAGCGTTACGTTGGACGACGTTGGGCCAAGACGAACACATCAAACAGCTCCGTCCTATACAACACCCTGAACTTACAGGCGCCGGCGCTCACGCCCAAGAACCCAAGATGGTTGCAGACATGTTCGTCAGCCTCCGAGGCGCATTGGCGCATGCATTAATCATCCAGGTGTGGTTGATGGTGCGTGTTGTCTCTCTACAACGTGTCCAAGAACCGACCAAACTACAAGTGCGACGACTGAACGCGGCTACCAGGAAACTGCAGGCCTGCCGTAAGAAGATCGTCTACAAGGCGATGACTCCCACGGGCGATGTTGACCTGCACAGCGACTCAGGTTATCGACACCTGAGTGGAGATGCCGATGACGAAGTCAACGGCTATGGTATTCGCGGGGCAAACCTGCTACGGCGTGGAAGCACGCCATCTGGCAAGCCTGTCGTTCACTCGATCGATGCGCACTGCAAGTCTCACCGCTTGCAGGCCCGCTCGAGCTATCCAGCAGAGACGCTAGCAGCAGCCCGCAACTTGGAGGATTGCTATCCCACCATCGTGGCTCTGCACGAGCTCCACGCAGGGCCGCTAACTCCCACTCAGAGGAAAGACATACTTGAGTTGGATGGCCTGACCATCAAGGTCATTTTGGCCATAGATGCTGAGTATGTTTCCAAGCGAAGACTTGAGAAGCCGACCGAGTGCACCCTTTTCGGACGCATCAGTTGGGCACGACAGATGATGGAGCGAGGAATCGTGCACAGTATTCAATGGTGTGACGCCCGCGATATGACCGCGGACGGTCACACCAAGGGGCGCATCGACAAAGAAATGCTCTACAGGTCATGGGAGGTACGCAATCCTTCACACATGGCTTAAAGCGTCATACTCCCTATCGGGCTGGCCAGACATCTCGGTCTGTAGCCGCCTGATGAGTATTCGTATGCACAGTAAATGCAGGCAAGGCAACTTGCGCGCGGGTCCACCGTCCTTCTGGCCCAGCCCTTTTGCTGCCCTTTTGTACATAGTAGCTGCTGCGCCTGCTGCGTAGAGGCGGCGGGCTCACGCTTCGTCCCCCCCCCCCCCGACTCTAAAGTGAGTTGGGCGTTGCGCGCGAGTGGGAGCGAGCGTGCGTCCACGGCTGCTTGGCTCAAAGCGGCCGGCCGCCTAGATCTGACCACGCCTCAGTGTGAGGTGTATTATTTGCCATCGATGCCAAAACTGTTTGAGATGGCTCGCCTCCTACTACTGGGACTATCGTTACTTCGGTACACAGAGCTGGAGCTTGGCCTCGTCTAAGCCGAAGCTGCTGGTTGGGCCTCTCGACCCCATTTGAAACTGTTTGGCCCCGTCTTGGGCTCCCCATTGGTTGCTCTTGGCCTGTGTTCTTGGCCTGAGTTCCTGGAATCAGGTTCGGTCGTCTGCACGATGTTGCATTATGTTGCATTGTGCTCCGTTGGGTTGCTTCCCGTTGCATATGCACTTGCATTGCTGTGTGGTCCACATGTCACTGGCGAGCATTACTCTACGTCGCTTTGCTTTGCCTTGCGTTGCATGTCATTCAATTGCTGTGCGCGTGTTCTGATAAGTTGCGCATGTAACGCTTCGGACCGCATTGGGCCCGCATCTGGTGTTATTCCATGTCAATGCGTTGCACTGGGCTGCCGTTTTGGTCACCATTGCTGTCAATGGTGTGGATATTATCGCAGTGAAAATTATGGAAAAGTCCTTGTCGGCAATTCGTATCTGTTCTGCCCGCGTTATAGATGCGGTACCCCATGATCCACCCATGTGTGGGTAACTACTTTAGTGGCTGCGTGAACTTGCCAAGGGTTGGGGCTGACTAGAACCTAAACGCGCGCGAAGCGCGCGTGGTTCTACTATATACATATACACATTTAGATATGCCGCACCACGTTCATTACATCACAACTATTGCACTACATCGATTGCGTAGCATAGCTTGCACCGCTGATATTGCACCACATTTGTTGTATCCCCTAGTCTGCTAGGGCCCACGGTTGGGGGTCGACGCTGGCTGGCTAACATGTTTAGAAAGGGGTTGGGTACGTATCGGGTATTCGTATGTTTTGTTTGCTGGGGGTCCAATGGGGCACGGTCCTACCTATATCAACATGAGACACCGCTTCCCTGTTTAATGATAATTATGCGATTGCCGCCGTTTTCGTGTGTTTGAGAGGGGGTCCAGCAAAACCTCGTCGTATCCATGCCAAAATCAGGCACCGCCTCCTTGGGCTTCGCCGACTGCGCAGCAGTCGCCACATGCGTACGTTCCAGGGCCGGGGTCAGGAAAATGCGGTTTTAACCAGATCAGGATGGGAGTCGCCTTCCTGCGTGCTGGGAACAGCGCGAGAGTCGTCACTTCTGTGAGCGCGTGAGGGTCCACGGATTGCGGTCCTTCCCAGGCCGCAGGACAAACATGGCACCTCGCGTCGTGGGGGTGTTGTCGCCGCTTTCATGAACTTCTGGGGGGCCAGCAGAACGCGGCCCGAGTCAGCTAAGAATGAAACCTCGCCTCCCTATGTACTGCTGCCTGCGTAAAAAGACGTCGTTTCCCTGTTTGTTGCCACCAGCGTAACGTTTGCAACGCTCAGCTTCCCCAGGTCCGAATGGAACGTCGCCTCACTGGGTGCTGCGAACTGCGAAACCGTCGCCGTTTTCGTGAGTTTGTGGGGCTCCAGCGTAGTGCGGGCCTGCGGGTGAATCCAAGTGAAGACCCGTTGCCCCCTAGGTGTTGCCAACAGCGCAGCTGACGTTAATTTCTTGAGCTCGTGAGCGTGAGGGGCACATCGGTGTGTTATCCCACGCGGGTCCAAACGAGACCTGGCGTCCCTGGAAGTTGCCGACTGCGCATATTCTAGCACTTTCGTGATCCCCCAGGAGGTCTAACGGAATCTTGTCCCACGAGGATCCGAATGAGATTTCCCTTTCGCAATTGCTGCCTTTTCCTCGTGAGCCCTTGGAAAGTTCAGCGAAGTGCGGTCCTGCGGGGATCCACATGAGACCTTGCCCTCTGTGGGTGCCAACCATCGCCATGTTTGTGGTTTCTGGGGGATTCAGCGACGTATGGTCTAACAGGGGTCCACACAAGGCCTCGCCCTTCATGGGGCCTGCCATCTGCGCAACCGTCGCTTTTTTGGTGGCGCCTGGTCCTGCAGCCAGGCCCTCCATGGGTGCTGCTTATTGCACCGCGAGGTTCAGCGCAATGGTATCCTAGGACCTCCTCTCCTTTGGCGCTGCCAACTGCGGAACTGCAGCCACACTCGTGAGATCCTTGGAGATCCAGCGGGGTGACGTCTTGCGCCTGCTATTAATTGTCCTTCGGTGTGGCTTCATATAGCGCGCAATGCATGGTTTCCCCATGCTAATCACAGAAAAGGTAACGCTCGTGCTATCTGTTTTTTATGTTGTACGAGCCCGTTGTCATGTCTGCTTGTTGCGAATGGGTTGGGTGCATCCCCGGGTCATGTCCGATTCTGCGATGTTAGCCAGCGTGGACCTCAAACAGTGAGTTATTGCTCTGCGGAGGTGGAAGTTATGCGGTGTTGGCTATGTGGCGAAAGCTATGCTGGGCAAACTATGCTGTGTAAGCTATGTCGTGTGAGCTACGTGGTGTGAGCTGTATGAGGTGAGCTTGGGTGTCTGAGCTAAAGCCACGCTGTGTATGCTACGTTGTAGACTATGCGGTGTGAGCTGTGTGGTGTGCGCTATGCGGTGTAAGCTATGCGGCGTAAGAGCTGTGTGGCCTGAGCTAGGTTCTGTCGCCTATGCAGTGTCTGCTATATGGTGGAAGGCACGAGGCGGGCCCCCCAAGCGGCCACGAGGAGGCCACGGGAGGCGACTTAGCGAAACCTCGCCGGACCCACCCAGCGCACGAGGAGGCCACGAGGCGGCCACGGGCGGCCACCTGGAAAATCTTCGCTGGACCTATCGGATTCCTCATTGACACAAGCAAGAGCGCCCAAGTGCAAGCACTGTTTGCGGACAAGCTGCAACAAACTTCCAGGACCTCTTTTTTCCAGGACCCCCTAATTTAGTGGCGAGGCGCACCTGCGCATCGCCAACCTGCGAGCGGCGCGCCCGCATCTCACCGGGCGCCCCTGCCAGGTGAGCATATTCGAGTCCGCGCTGCCGCGGTGGGACGGCAAAGACATCGCCCTCTCAGATGTGGAGGCACGATCGGGCGCCGCTTGCATCCCGATACTGTTCAGGCCTCTCAAATGGGGCTGGGGCGGATGGTGGTCGAAGAATCACGCCGCATCGCCAGTGCATTAATGATACGGCGCGATTTGGAGCCCGCTCTTCCCCGTTACGACACCACTCATGCATCGTCGATGCAGCGCGCTCCTCCGACCCCATCTGCTCCGACACGATTTGGGAGGCCTCCATCATGTCCTCGCTTGGGAAGGTTGCTCAGTAGTGATGAAGCGTGTCGTGGCAATTGCGTTTCGTTGTTGTCGCAATGTTCAACCAGACAGGTGCGAAAGTCCTTTTCGATTTTGATCTCCATCCGAGACGACCGACGCGGTGCTTTTCTACAGTGGAGCCGCACCACTTCGCGAGGCCGTCACCCTTGCAGCGGTCGAGGTCCCGCAGCCTCGACGGCAACTCGCGGCACAAGCCCTCTACGGGCGCCATCGATTTGCGCCCCGCGGGCTTCCGGGCAGGCCCGTTGCGCCTCCACCGTCTCGTCCCAGCATTTCTTCGGGGGTGTCTTTGTCGGCGTATCTCGCATCCACGACACCGCGTTCTCGTCGTCGGAACCGTCTTGGATCCATCGTGGTTCCAAGTTGCATCCTATGACCTCCTGCGGCTTTAGGTGACGCACTCACCTGTGGGTGCTTGCCTTCCATGGCGTCTTATGACCTCTTGTGGCGTCCTATGGCCTACAATCGCTTTGGTTGCCGCACTCGCCCTTGGGCGCCTGGCCTCCTATGGCTTCCAATGGCCGCCCATTGCCTTCATTGCCGCACTCGCCCGCATGTGCATGGCCACCTATGGCCTCACGTGGCGCTAGATGGCCCTTGGTGTTTTGCCCCCTATGCATTCATAGTGTCTGTTGACCTCATGGCCTTTGGCGGCCCTTGTTGTGGCTGCATGCGGCCACCTGTTAGTTCCTATGCCGATTGGTGGCTTCATATAGCTCTGATCGCCGCACTCGCCCTTGAGGGTTTTATACTTGCTGTGGCGTCCGATGGCCACCTATGGCTCTGGTTTGCCCACACTCCCCAGGAGTCCTTGGCCTCCTATGGCATCGTATGGCGCATGGCCTCCTACGGCCCCAGGTGCCGCTTTCGCCCGCGTGTGCCTGGCCGCATGTGGCCTCCTGTGGCCTTGGGTACCGCACTGACCCGTGATTTCTGCCGGACTCACATGGCCTCCCGTGGCCCTTGGTGCCGCACTGACCCGTGGTTGCTCGGCCCCCTGCACCGATGTCCTCAGATTGTCTCCTACGGCCTTGCGTGCCGTTCTCGGCATTGGGTGTCTGGCCTCCTGTGCGTCCCAACGTCTCCTGTGACCTCCCGAGGCCCTGACTGGGTGCAGCACTCGCCCGTGGCTGACTGGCCTCCCACGACTCCCTATGGCCTCGTGCGGCGTCCTATCGTAATTCGCCTCACATTGCCGCCCATGTCCTCCATTGGCCTCCTCAGGCATCCTATGCTCAGATTCCTACGGCCATTTGTTGCCTCGCATGGTTTCGGGTGCCGCGTACACCCGTGGGCGATTGGCCTCCTATGGCCTGCCATGGCCTCCGTTGCCTGTGGGTCCCGCAATCGTCCGTGGGCGCACCATTAACTCTCATGACCTCTTAGGGCCTTGGGTGACGCACACGCCCGGCTGCGCCTGGCCTCAGATGGGTTCCTACGGCCTTGCCCTGCCCCTCGTCCTTATATTGGTTCTCCCCGCCCTCTCCTGCTATTGCCGTGATCCTGACGGAACAGCCGCGGCGATAGGAGGAGGTGTAGGGGAGCATTGGAGCAGAACCAGGGGAACAGGAGGGCGGGACGTAGGTGGAGGGAAGCGAGAATGGCGCAGAGGGCGCGGTCGACATTAATACCCAAGCAGCGCTTGCAGATAGAGGTCCCGCGTGGGCTCCTAAGAAAGTGGCCGATATAATAGCCAGCAGCTCAGCATTGAGAAAATGACTCGAGCCGGTGCCCGAATGGGAGCGGCAGCAGCGGCATCTAATGACGATGATGATATGTGTGCCAAGGGCGTGCCAGCAGCGGAATGCAGCAGGCTCACTCCAGTTTCCGCCACGTTGACAGCGGGCCTCCGCCGCCGCAGACCGTGTGTTCTGCAACGATGGAAGCGAAAGGGGTGCGAAGGGGCCCTCTGGGGCCCCCTCCGGATGGGCCAGCTTGGGAGAAGGGGAAGGGGTCAAGCGATAGCAAGGGCAGAGAAGAGGAAATCCCGCGCATATCTGGGGGCCAGTATATCCAAACGTTTACCAAACATCCTAGATGTATTGGCCAGCGACCGAGCATTGAGAAAATGATTCGAGCCGGTGCTCGAGTGGGAGCGGCAGCAGCGGCATTTAACGACGTTGATAATATGTTGGCCAAAAGCGTGCCAGCAGCGGAATGCAGCAGGTTCACTCCAGCTTCCGCCACGTGGACAGCGGGCCTCCGCCACAAAGCCCGAACTGTTTTTGTTTGAAGTTCCCTGACACGGATGGATTACCCTTCCGAGCGCTGTCTGCGCGCCCTCTTCTTTCTCTCCCTTCCGCAGCCATCTGGGCTGGAGCTAGAGTGCTTAGGGAAAGCCCCTAGACCCAACGGCCGCCATTTTTGCGGGCATCATGGTCCCGATCCTCGCGTCGATCGCGGCGTGGGGCGGGCTCGGTCTGCCCGCAGTCAGCGCCCCCGGGATGGGCATGGGGGCTGCGGGGGGAACGGGCAGGGAAGACCCCAATCCGGAGCCCCGCCGGCCCCGCGACGACCTCCCCGCGCGCGGACTGGAGCACCCGGCGCGCGCGACGGAGGACACTTGGGGCGCGATTTCGGACGCGCCGGCCCCACCCTTCGAGGAACCGGAAACGGCGGGGAAGGAACGGCCCCGGGGCGGATCGCAGGCCGCGCCCCCTCTGGAAGACGGAGGCGCTTCGCGCGGGCCCATGGCGCCCCCGCCCACGGCCGCCGCCCGTCCGCCACGCGCTGGCAAGGGGCGCCCCGGGCCCGCCGAGGGGAGCGTCGCCGAGCCCGCCGGCCTACTGTAAAGGAGGCCCCCCCAAGGCGACCCGGGAGCCCAGGGCGGGCCCCGAGAATCCTGCAGGCGCCCCTGCCCGTCCGAGTATTTGAAATGTAAGAGGGTCCACCAAATATGTTGGGGCCTCGCAAAATAAGTTGCAGGCCCCCCCGCATGACAAAACCCTTCCAATTTCTTGGGGGGCTCTGCCGAACGTGGATTTTTTTGGGGAAAAAAACAGGGTTTCGTGTTAGCAGCATCCTTGAGACGCGCCATCAGTTTATCGCAGCTCGTTGTTTCACGGTGGCCTCATTTTTTCCTCCCCCCATCCCCCCCCCGTCCTCCTCCTCCACCCCCCTCCTCTTCCCCCTCCGCCTCGCCGCCCCCCCCCCTTCATCCCGCCCCCCCTCTCCCACTTCGCAGGAGGACCCCGCGGGCCCTTTGAACTGTGAAATTCGCTTGGCCCAGTTGGGCCCACAGGCGCAGCGGCCCCAAATGCGAACAGCCTTGGGAAAATGAGCGGTGCCCAAAGAATGCTTCGCGCGAGGCGTCGATCGATCTCTGTCACGGGCCATCGCAATCTGCGCTTCCTGATTGCAGAGCGATGCGCAAACTTGCAATGATGGCGGGGGCCTCCTATAGAATCTACGCGCGCACCAATGGTGCCCTCGTCCAGAAAATTCGAATTAGATTTTGGATTTCCGCATGTGAAGAATCACTCCCCCCTAAATGTGCGAATGTATGATGTTTCGGGCGACTGAACGCACGCAGCTGGCTGGCGCCATCTTGAGAAAGAGAGCCTCGGGACGCCCGGCCAGAAGACCGAGTGCGCCTGTCAACGCGCAGGGGCAGCTGCCCACGCAAAAGAACATGCTGTCTCGCAGGGGTGCCCAACTAAGTTCGCACGGCGCCCGATGGGCGCTTGTTCTCATCGTAGATATCGCGCAGCGCCTCCACGCTAAAAAGGACCCGAGCCGCTCGCATCGCTGGCAGGTTTGAAGAGTTCTTTCAATAGGAAGCGAACGACGCCGAGCATCAACAGAGCACGTGCGGCCTTCATCCGCAGCTTTGGATATCAGTGTTTGTTTGGCTTCGACATCCAAATGTCAAAGTGGTCGCTGGAAACTTGTCGTGACGCAGTTGGCGCCTCGCATGTTTTTCATCATCGTGAGCTCGGAGAGGCAATCGGGTGGCTTTGTCGTCGGACCACCGAGCGAGATGAACGGCTCGAGCAACGCGTTCGAGACCAAATATAATGCGACGCCGAGGCCGCCGACGCGCATCACATCCAAGACAACACGTTATTACTGGAATCCAGGACTGCTCAGAATCCCAGAAATGCAGCGGCCCGATTGATGTGCATCGCGCGCGGACTGTTGATCTGACACCATCGTAGATCGCCGCTTGGCGTTTCTGCTAATCTGTAAACGGGCAAGCGCAGCGCGAATGCAGCAGAAACGCGCCCTCTTCCCTCTGCCCCCGCCTTGCCACCCGCGCAACCCCAGCCGCCTTTTCGAGCCGGTCCCAATCTGCTCGGCTTTGAACGACGCAGCCAGCCAGCATTGTGCGTGAACAGGTTTGCCCGCGCCACGCGCGGGCGATCGGCCCATGAGGCGAGAGTATTTGAGGGGAGCGCCGCCGCGTCAAACCTGGGAGCTCTGCCCTGTCAGCCGTGCCTGGAAAGGCAGTGATTTCGCGCGCCGCGCGCCGTCGAGCGCACGGCGCCCCGCGCGGCCGCAATGGCAGAACAAATTGCGGTGCAACGCGCGCGTCCGAAATCAAATGTCGCGACGCGCTGCCCGCGAGCAATTCAAACAAATCAGATAATCACGCTTGCTGAGCGGGGCTTCGCCTCCCAAAATTCCAGTTGGAACGACGTCATCAGCTGCGCGGCGGGCGCCCGCGCGAACCGCCCAGCTCTCGCGAGATCGTTCAAGCGAAGGATTGTCGGGCACAGCCCAGCCCGCTGGATCTCCTCGCAGTGG